AAAGTTCTAACTGGGACCTTCGTATCATCGGTTTAACGTTTTATCCACCAAACTAGGACGCTTCCATCGAAAACTGCAGTAAAAGCTCATTTTTACGAACACTGTTGGGCCATGATGCAAATCAGGTCGGATAAACGGTCGGATGGTTTTACGGGGGTGCCTTACATTGTGCTGTTTTTAGCCTTTTCTAAACAATGATACTACTATGATAAGTATTATTTTTATTTGACTTTCAATCGGAATCTTTATTGGTCTTGAAAAAGTGTTTGATACTAGGAGCCTATGATGGGCTCCTGTTGGTACAGAGAATCATAATTATTAATATCATTTTATCAATTCCTTTCGTTTTATCTACGCTCTACATTTATGGTGTCATGGCTATCGTGCACAACTAGTTTAAGTCACCTATAAAACTGTAAGCAAACAAAGCTTGTTAATGACACTATATTAAGCCAATAACTAACACTCTGTGGGGTCCCCCAGGGTTCAGCATTTGGACTAGATGTAAGCGCTTAAGGCCCGCGCCTCAGGATTCGAATACTGAGCGATTTCTGGGGTCATCCCTGGTGTAATTAACAATTATTCCTCGAGCCCGAATGGGCTCTGAATCAATAGCCCATGAAGCCGAAGGCCGAATGGCCTATTGACTTACAGCCCATGAGGGCAGGAGGAATAAATGTTTTAGTAAAATCCAACTAGTTGGTCAAAAATATCGAGACAAAACAACTTTAGTTGGCACAGTTTTCGTTGTCCCTGGGGAAAGAAAGCTCTTACACTTTCTCTAAATTCAAACCCGCTTAATAAGCGGGACACCATTAATGCGGACAACACTTTTTTCTTACCTAATCAACACAGTTTTATTGAAAGTCAAGGGGTGATACTTTGATTTCCTTTCCGAAAGAGAGTCAGAGCTCCAAACCTCATTAGCATCTCTAAACCTAAGAATCGATCAACTAACCCTCGGGCATTAATTTGTACTGCTGCTTGAATAATTTAGACAAAAAGAAAGAAGAAAAAAAAGAAAGTAATAACGACAAGAGTAATGAAGACAGTTTAAACAGTGGAAAAATAATGACCTTGT